TTTTGAATGCAAGCAAAGCCATTGAGTATCAGATCAGATGATCAGATCATATCCGATTTGATTCGAAACTTGAGGTTTTGTAAAATTGCCGGCGATGTTGCTCACTCCACTGCGCGTGCGATTTTTGGTGACCATGAACTGGAGACCTATACTCACGGCTAATTACATAACAAAGGACATTTCAGGCGATACCAATGAACACGAAGAACAGTTCTGGTCATGAAGAAATTTCTGTGCTCGTAGAAATAATGGTATGGAGCTAGAGTAATGGTTATGCTTCTAATGGGGGAAATAAACCAAAGTAAATATTTTGTGTAACAAGTATACTATAGCAAATAGCATGACACACAAGAGAAACAGACGATGAGAAGTTGGTAGTGCAAGTTTATTGTGGCTGGACTGAAAATGTATAAAATGACGACCAATTAATATTTAAAAGGCTTTTATTCAGGCGTTGTCTGAAACAAAATGATTAATGTTCGACGCCTATCCTCAATTTCAGTAGTAGTCATACTTACAATAAGAAACGGGATCACAAGAGATTGAAACAATTAAAGTTGAGCTTTTAGCTGGTGGGGCGGGCTTTTTTAAAACCCCGTAAATTCTTCAAACTTTCAATTTATTACTCTGGTGTCCATTATGTAGAAGGCACAACTCTTGAATTTAGGCATTAGGCTATTCATTCTAACCCCTCTGAGTTCTTCTAGAAGTTCAGCTGTTTTCAACTGCCCTTGTAAAAATTGTGGCACGTGTCCAGATTTGCAGCCAGTTCACATGCAAAAGGTAAACAGAGTATACGCATCACCCGTTGCCGTGTGTTTTTTCTAATCGTTTCTGTACAAAGGAGTTGCTAGTTGTGGTTTTTGTAATCGTGTCTCTTTGTTAGTGCCGTTTCGTTTACCTAATAAAACAGGTAATAAATCCCCTTAGCTTATTTGTGTATGTTGTTGGCTCCCCAATTCAGTTCTAAGTACTTAAGAAAGGCATTTCTGGATTATTGTGGTCTGAGAGGGTGTGGTCCACTTAGTAGGAGTATCATCGTGGAGGTTTGTGTTGCGCGCTTTGACCTAATTATACACTACGCATTAATGCGTCAACTGCGGAAATGAAAAAAAAAACTTACACTCCTGCATGAAACAATTAAGCAAAATTGTGCATGTTTACACGTCATCAGCCGACAAGTGGTGAACCACTGCCTTCCGGGATTACTGTTGGCTCAAAGCGGGATACTTGGAAAGGGTAAGACATGCCCGCCAATGATTAGCCCGAGAGTCCTTTGTATAATATTTTTTACGCTATATGATTCACTATATAAGCTGGTGCCACAACCACAGGCCATTTACAGTGGCAAAGCTCGAGTTGAATGATGCCGGAAACGTATTGCTTCTATTGCGTTCAATCATCACTGCACTTTTTTTGATTTCAGGGAGCTTGGACATAATAATCTTACCAGAATAAATGAGCAAACCTTCATGAACCTCACCAGACTCTTAACATTGTAAGTATATGTTCATAGTATATTCCAAAGACTGTGTCCACTAACGTCAATTGCAACATGTAAAAGGTATTACTCTGTAAATGAATCCATGTCCCGTGTGGGACCCCACGTATATAACACGCCTCTGACACGACTGGTGTTAGACCAGTTGACTCCTGACATTGTGCCCAATGCTCTCTCTAATTACGTTAACAAGGCCAAATGTTGGCTTTTTACTTGATCAAGAGGCTGAATCAATGACACAAAACCCTAGGCACAACTAACAAAGGATCTTTAAAGACTTCAACTTCTGTTTTCACGTGGCCCACGGCTATGGAATGTCAAACCTTCGCTTCCATTGATTACAAAGCTTGTTGACTCCAGCATCCATTGAAAATAGAGTGAGCCTTTCTGTAATTGAAACCAAAATAAATCAATTGCAGGAATGACACATTTCAATCTGCTTTGTCATAACTGGCTCTTTTTAGAGCCAACATTTCTCCAATAAAGAGAATTTCTCCCGTTACCTGCAAAAATCATTTCTCTCATTAAAATTTTTTTATAATGATAACGATTGACTTCCGAAAATGATTGTCACATTAATAGTGATATCAAATGAAGAACGTATACAAGAATATTTGTACTATATTCTAATTGTGTAATAAGAGAGAAATTTGTTACGATTTTGTTTCATTTTCAAGGAATTTATTATGGAATCAAATATCTACGATTGAGCCAGGATGCTTTAGTGGACTTTCCAGGTTGCTGCGTTTGTAAGTTAGCCTTTTAAGACATTCCCCTGAAAAGATACTTAAACATCACTATGCTTGAAATTAGGGGGTCGTCTGCGAATTGGGTTTTCTGGCCGCCACTGTAGTCATTCTTGTGCTGTGATGAACAGTTTTAGTCGAAGATATTGACGGCTGCTGACACTGATACCAAGACTTGTAACACATCAGAGAGTTCCCACGGAAATTCAGCGGGAAAAGTCTACATTGTACGGTACTCCAACAGTGCCATCCACGTATTCAGATATTGAAAGAATTGGTCACGTCATATTCACATATCGCAGAAAGTAGATCGACTTAAACTCACACACTATCTCGCCAAATCGACTTTCCAAAGATGAGGGGATGACGTATTGAAAATTTATAGTCTCATTAAGTCGTCTTGCCAAAGTCGACATAGCAGCTCGTCGAGACGCATTACCACACTTAATCGACTTTCCTGAGACGAGATAAAGTCATCAAGTCAATTTTCCCACGTAAATAAGTTGTCAGGTGTTTACGGGTTTGCGAGATGATACTTTTCGACAAATCGTATCTATTCCTCGACTTGTTAAGATAACATTTCTTAAAATCGTGCTGTGGTCAAGAAGTTGACTCGAGGAGAAACGACATGGGAGAGGCCTTGGTATGCTGGATGTTGAATTGCTGACATAGTACCTCTCGACAAGTCGTTATCTTGTCTTCGGAAGGTTGTCTTCGCGAGATGATATATCTGGACAAGTTGTTTATCTCCCCATCGGGAAGTCAACTCAGAGAATTATTTTAAGGGATTAAGTTGCATTACTTTTGAAATATGTCAACGTGACGTGATAAACCTTGGCATTTCTGGTGACAGGTATTCATGTAATTACTGTCGGATTACTGAGGAGGACAATATAAACTACTATATCAAATAAAACTAACAAGGTTGGGAAGCCCAGATTTCTCACTTATTTTTTTTGCCATGCCCAATAATTTCAGTGTGTGGGGCGGGATTTTTTCTCATCACAACGGATGTTTACCAAAAATATGAGCAGACATCTGGACTTTGGTGATTGGAGGGTTTGTCTTTGTGCCCAGTACTCCAAGTCTTACTTTCCCTCATTCAATCGTTTAGAAACCTTGGTTTCAATCAACTAGAGAAGCTGGATGCAGACATCATTTTTGGCGTCGGTAGAGAACTGTGGTTAGTTGATATCATTTCATCATCATTTTGTATTGAATGAATTCTAATCTAACCTCTTTTGCAAATGATTAACTTGTTACAGCTGTCGTAATTTTGGGCAGACCGAACGAACGTTTTGATAAACTGACATCCATTTCGATTTAATGTTGCCGTTGGAAGCTCATTTTTCACGTTTGGCATCAAAAGGCATACGCTAATTTTACTAAATTTGGTATGCACAGATTTCATCACCGGTGAAAAGTGTGTAATCAGTAGTACGTATTTCACTTTTCAACTTTAACAGGTTTGAAATGAGGGTGGATCACAACAGACTGAAGATATTGGACCCGCTGACATTCAGTGGAATATCATATCCCGGACGCATGTAAGATTTACACAATGCTCTTCGATATAATTGTCGATTTTGAAGACGGAGAACATGCATTACAGAGGGTTTGCGGGGCTTCCATCTTGCAGGCCAGTTCTCATGTTCCGCATTTATGCGTAAATGAGGCTTCCCTGTGGCACAAAAGAACTGCCCTGCAAGATGGCCACCACGTAAAGCCTGTTTTGTAGCGGTTTTGTGATTTTTTTCACTTATGAAAGTATTTACCGCTGCATTTGTACTTTTCCATCCATGAAAGACTTTACCAACGAAGTGGAGACAATACAGTCGCAACTAGTTGACTTTATTCATATTCCCGCGATTTTGTAGTAACTGTGACGGTAATCGTCTACTGGAGATTCCATCACGGCTGATGTATCAAAAACACAAAGAAAGTACCGTAAATATATTGTAAGTATATTCTGGAGAAAACTATGATGCACTAATATGACAATATTAATGAAACGAGTCTATTCTTAAATTTATTTATGGTGACGGTACCAAAAGTGCTCAAAGAAAAGCAGTCTGTCTACGACAAAAAATGCTGTGCTGAAACCACTTGGATTTAAGGAATATTCGCAGACTGGGAATGTGTTCAAGGATATTTCTTATAAAGGCTAGAATGGGATTCAAACCACCGGCGTGCACATTGAGGGCGAGATAGGAAACGCTGGGCCAACTCAACTCCAGGAACCTCTAGATGATTAGTTGGGTCAATTTTTTGAGAAGGGATAGGACCGGCTGTATGGTCCTCACAGATGCTCTAAAACACAAGCAAATGGTTGCTATATTATCGGATTTTTCGTTATTACATCAACGGGCGGTTAATGATCATTACATTATCGGCAACGTTATAGGAAAATCTTTCAATGCATCACCTGATTGTCGATGGTGACGGTTTGTCTAAATGTCATCGGTTCCATTAGAGGCATGTAGATAGCTTCCATTTTAAATACTAAAGATATTTTAGAGACGGTGGACGGGGTTACTATATATTTGTCCTTGTTTTTACCCATGAATGCATTATAATGTGCACCTGATGCCGTACACAGTTATAGTATCTAAATCGGCAAGAGTGAAATTAGGGACAAGACGTTTTAGAGTGAAAATCACTCTGAATTCAGACAGAAAAACGCTGAAAATATACCCTTCCAGTGGAAGCTCCAGTGAAATTTCAATCTTTTGGAGTGACGAAATTTCATTCCGATTCATGTGGTCCTTAATTTCAATCGGAGGGATTGAATTTTCACTCGAACAGAGTGTATTTTAACTCTTTGGAATATACTTATCAACACTATTGCTACTCTCTCTCTGACCTTCAAAGATATTCTCTAAGGCTTGACTGGCATAAAGTAAACGTTTTCTTTGTTTTTCAACAGGATTTTTACAAATAACCAAATTGAACGGCTAGCACCAGATGCATTCGAAGGACTGAAATACATACATATGTTGTAAGTGGCCGATAAACTTGAAGTTTAGGGTGAACTGTTTTATTCGGAATAAAATTTCAATAGAGCAAGTTTAGAACAGTGTTGTAGTCGAGTACTTTTCGAGTAACAATGTTCTCTGCCAAATATTGATCTGGGTAAGAGCGAATAAAGGTGGAGTGCATAGGTATTTGATGGTAATTGCACAAAGGTAAGAATACAGATTTAATGTAAGACTTCAGACACCCCAAGTTCCGTAAAATGTAAGTTTTAAGGAGAAAAGTACTTGGCCGAGTTGGTTTCCAGTGCTCTTGTCCTAAAAACGTAATTTTTTTTATCAAATTAACAATGATTGTCTGAAGTCATCATTTTACTTTGTAATCTTACCGATATGCCAACATATTTTGGCTTTGCTCCCTCCTATTTATATGACTGGCAAAGAACTTGGTATTCGAAAAATGGGTTTTTTGAATAAAATATTCAAAAGAAGTAAGGAACAGTGATGAGATTACCTACGATATGAATTCATTGGCTACATGCACTTGCAAGATAAACTGGATAAACTCACAGTGAACAGAACAAAGACTGTTCTGTTATGCAATTGAAAATCTGTCCGCAACGTACCATCAGATGCGTTTAAATGAAGTCTTCAGTTTTGAGAATATAATAATCCTAAGCTTTATTTTGATATTTTGGTACCTGAAACACTTGCTGAAAACCTTTTTTGGTTTGCGAAAACACATGTTAGGCCTACTTTTCGTTGAGTTTGTGGGGCCACCCTGTATGATAATCGATTTGGGAACATCTTTGTAATATTTAAAAAAAAAAGGCAAAAAGGAGAAACTCGTAGCCTGTAGGGCTGACTGGTTTTTAGGGCGGCTGTACGCTGTTTCGGAGATCGTAGATTTAAATCGGCAGCATTCAATTTCTTTGCTTGCCTTTTTAATCCTTTGGTGGCAGCAAATATTATATTGGTTCCGCGTAGTTTGAGTTTAAAAATTATTCCGTTTTCATGATTAGGTAGGAAAAAACAAGCCCCGTACAGTGATTATTTTATTATGTTATTACTTAAGGATTTTTGCTTTTAGTTGTATCAGGCAGTTGACTTGAAATTTCACTTTATTTGTTAAGAATAAGACAAGAGAAAAGTTAACCTACCTTAAAGCTGCTTTTCCTAACTTTTTGGATATTATTGACTATTTCTGTTTTTTCCCTTAACAGTTCTTTTTTTTTAGAAATGAAACAGTTGGTACTGTTATTTTTTAAATTAATTGGTAGTTAGTACATATGAATAATATTCATGTTTTCCAAATTATATCTAATTTGAAAACAAGCAAGTGTGTATAAAAAAATACGTTTTCTGCATCAATCCTTCCAGGTATTTCTCTTCCAATAGAATAAAAGCTCTCCCCGACAGTATTTTTATCAACACGACTATAGGAAATACCTTGTAAGTATTTTTCTGCCGACGGTTTGATGTTTGAGTACATGTTTTGAATGAAACATTTCACAAATCGATGATGCATATTGCATTTATGTCGAATGCGCACTAGAGTTAGTCAGGGTTGCCGTTACAGTAACTCTTGGAATCTCAAGTTATAAAAAGACCTGAAAAGCAGATCTGTAACAGTAGAATTCTAAATATTTGGGCATACGGAATTCGTTCCGCACATTATTACAATACAAATTATGTTTCTTATATCTAGAGCCCAAAAGACCTTTTACTATTAAATTCACAATTATGCACGCATGCACATGAATAGGCACGGCGGTCAAAAGCGTGAGCGGCCCACCAAAATATGTACAGGAGTGAAAACTACATGACCATTCAGACTTTTTTCAAGATTTTCTCAGACGATTTTAGAGCGTTTTCCGTTGAAAAAGCTAGAAATGGCAGATAATTTACTGAGAGGATATTTAAGTTTGTAGCTCTGTCCATTTCTAGCTACTTACACTTTTTGTCGATAGACGTATTTTCTGCACATTCGTGTAAAATCATGATTGTTTCAGCTTAAAGGACCTGTACAGTGAAGGCTACAGTTTCGTTTTAAACCATTTACCACGATGATCAGCCATAGACAACATTCCTGGTTTCAGACGCAACTTTTTTGACATAACTTTACTATTATCCTGATTGTTGGGTGACATTTTCCACAACTTTTCTTTCAGGGACTTGTCTTCGAATATGATCAGGTGCCTCCCAGATGGCCTTTTCCGGTCGATGAGTAAACTCCGTTATTTGTACATGGGAAATAACATGCTGACCGTACTCTCGAAGAAGATGTTCGACGGATTACGCTCTTTAAGAGAACTGTAAATAAGTTTCAACTTTACTAAATCGACGATCAATTTTAACGAAAAAAAAAATACCCCCACTCTCCTACCACCATGTATCACTCACCCGCCATTATCTCCCCCACCCGCTCTACCCCATCGCCCCACCCTAACGCCTCACCACCAGAAACCGCCATCCACCAAGTTTAATTTCCCTTGGCCTTTTTTTGCCACCTCACAAGTTTAACTAACATCCCAACCACTTCGCTTTAATAGCAATTGGGTTTGCATGAAGGACATGAAAAAAATTAAGGGTTTCAGGAACACTTTGCAACCTAACGAGAAGCAAAACCACACAACTCACTCAGGGCCGGATTATTATAAATATTGATACAAAACAAGAGATATGTAATACAAAACTGCTGCAAACTGCTTGCTGACTACAGTGACCTAAAATACAAGTGGAGGGCCTGACGTTTCGATCCTAGCCTAATCTCTCTCAAAGGCGAAATGACAAGTGGACAGGATCCACGAGCAAACAGGGAATACTTGGTAGATTCCCTGTTTGCTTGTTTGTCCTGTCCACTTATTATTTTGCCTTTGAGAAAGATTCTGCTAGGATCGAAACGCCAGGCCCTCTATATTTTGTAATACAAAACAAGTAAGCAGCGTCCCGGTACACTTTTGCATAAACTAATTGCACCAGTCACAATTAAGCAGCTGCTCAGAAACAAAGTCCTCAACAAAGTGACGCTGTCAATCAAAAAAAAAAAACTCGACTTAAGACACTTAATATGTTCACTCTAACTGATTAAAACATTCCTCATTGCTGTTTTTTTTTGGGGGGGGGCGAAACCTCCGTTGGCCTTCCTACCTGGATCCGCCATTGAACTCATTAGAGGGAACAGCTTACGCGATGTTATTGCAGATCTTTTTTTTTATCATTTTACCCACAGATTGATCTCAGACAACCCCATTATCCACATCGATGACCGGGTGTTCTCTGAAACTCAGCTGGTCAACCTGTAAGCATACCTTTTAACACTTCCAGACCTTTTAAAAGAAACTAAAAGAAAGAAAAAAATTTAACACTCAGCCAGAAATATATTAACAGACAGAACATTTTTTCGATATGACACCACCAAGAGCTTAAAACCATGATTTCATGCAGTTACATATCCAAAGTTCTGTTTCACGAGTCAAGGTAAAAGCAGAGAAAAACCAAAACACTATCGGGCATAACTGTATCTGGCACAGTTGTTGACATCTCCCCCCGCGGTGACTGCATCAAGAAAACGATGTATATGTAACTGCCATCCTGAGACGGCTGTGGATCGGTTGTTGCGAAATATTTGTAAATTTATCAGATGCCTGGGCCATTTTCCAATACTCGACTTCGGCTCCGTCTCAGGCTTGAACTGTTTTTTTCCCTCCTAACTTTGAAGTTGTAAGCGCAATAATAAGTCTGATAGTGTCACAAAACATCAAGTAAGATGCAAACGAGCCAAACATTACAGAACTTCAATTTAATTTAAACACTTCAGGCCCACGATCGGGGATTAGTTTCAAAGACGAAGCCTGAGACAGAGACGAAGTTGAGTATTGGAAAACGGCCCCGCCCAAGGAACGCACTGCACTATGTTAAAACACTCAAAATGTTTCATGGTCCCTTCCTTATCTAGCTAATGAAGGTTCCTTCCTGTCGACGCTTCCCGATGTACGGTAAACAATGGGGCGCACATCACCATTACCCAGCTCTATTAGAACCACTGTACATATCAGTCGTACTCTCGACGCTGGCTAAAAATTAGTCTGAAAGACCACTGATTCTAAATGTACGGACACATACAGGCGCCACCTTTCAGAGACCCAAATAGAACCATAATTTTACAGGCTGATATGTGCCGGAACTCTTGCTGGCCCTTTTATGTGCATTCTGGTTTTTACTTTCACCGGAGGAATTTGAATAAATTCTTTATGAATTATTTAGTGCTCGATCAACACCGGTACTGTTCGACAACTGCGAAGACCCCTATTCCCACTGCTATTTTATATAACACTCTTGTTACACAAAACAATTATTTTGTCTGCAGGTACATTTACAACACCCAACTGAAGTCCATTTCTGACAGGCCATTTGTGACAAGAAATAGTACCATAATGCTAGTGTAAGTATTGTGAAGTAACGTACCAGCTCTGCGCCTAGCTGGTTAGTTTGGTAGCGTGCCACCTCGATGGTGTTGTATCCCGGCGTTGGTGGGCCACACACCAGGCAATCCCCTTTTTGTTGAACGGATATACCGAGCAAGATACTGGAGGGAGGGGTACCCCTCCCACATGTCCAATCCCTATGCACACCCTTCAGTTTTGTTACCGAGAATTCCTGAGATTCCAATCAAACAATGACCAACACAAAGTTGGAGGATGCTCTCCATCCCATATCTTGCTTTATACATATGGCCGGTGGCATACACAGTGGAATGGGGAGTTGAATGTGGGTGGAGTCGGAATCAACTAGGCGGAGCAACGTGGCGTCACTTCCTTCCCTCTCTACTTTGCCCTAGCTTAAAACCTCTATCCTAATTAGAGGTAGATCCGACCCAACAACATCGACCGATGATTGGTGAACAGAGACAATAAATCAAAGACGGTGGTCACGCATTTAGATCATCACTGGCCATGTCATTCCGTTTAATCCAATCTTGGAAGTGAAAATATAAATTTGTATGTCTTATTTTAGGTCACTTTATGGTAGCAACATCGAAGCTATCTCGGATTCTGTTTGGCAAGATTTGGGACTGAATAGCAGAATGTGAGTTACTTGGAGTTTATAGTTTGGTGTTTGGCCTCTGATAATGTTGCAAATATGTTAATTTGCGTATATATGCAGATAGCCATAGCCGTCGCCATAGTCGTATTCGTCTGAAGGCCCTTCACAATAAAAAAAATGCAAACCAACAAATGTTTTCAATTTTAATTGCACTAGTTTAATTTTGGTGCTTTTTAGTTTTATGCTAATGAGTATTTTCATGTTATGCAACTGATCATCCCGGGGAAAGAACGTTGGCACTTCGAGCCAGATCATTGCGGTCAAGATCGGCATGTGCTTTCGGGCTTTTTGAAAACTCGGCTGTCGTGCACGCTTGAGCTCTCTTCTAACACACTTTCTAATTCTGCTTCTGTCCATGAAATCATCATGTAATCTATAATCCTCGACCGATTCCACAGATTCATCGAAAATACTCTGCGAAGAGTACATCAGGCAAGATCAGACGTAGAAATGTGAGACACGCTAACATACTCACCTTACCATGTTTGGGAATTTACAGTGGGGTAAATCTCTGTGGAAATTGGGGGATGGGTGTCGGGATGGGGAAAAGTGGGAGGGGGGGATGACTTGCCCGCCCATGAAAATTTGAAAGGGGGGGACACTATATACACTATATACATGGCGATGTTCATGATAAAGATGTTCACCTGTAATGTGTATCAAATTCATGTAGAATCTTACATCAGAATATGGCTTTTTAAAATTGCTGTCCCTTTTTAGTGATATTGAAAACTTTAGTCTTTGGGAAATTTTAGAAATTCTTCAAAAATCACAAAAAGTGTGTATGTGGGGGATGATTCAATAACCCATTCCCCCTCAAATAGGAGGGGATATATACCCCGACCCTCTTTACGCGCATGGTAAATTAACATCATAGAATCGGAACCGTGCTTCGTGCGCTATCTCAATATTTTAGTTATTTGTGCATATGTAATTCCCTATTGGGCCAGATATTATGCTATTTTTCTCTCATTTTTGTAACGCTATTATCTACCGTATATTTGAAACTCTCCTCAAGATGCTAACTGTTGATCAAGGTTTTCGTTCAGATAACGTTTTATTATATTCCACACTCTTTTGCCTTCAACATAGTTACCATATTTATTCATTTGTTTTCATACCAGTGGTTTGGTAGGAAGTGGATTTGTTCAGCCAATAAATGTTTCGTCTCAAAGTCGAAAAGCCTTAATTACCTCTGGATTTCACTGTGGAAAAGTATACGGTGAGCGATGGCAATGCACCCCATGCCCCCAAGGCACTTACGGAGGCCCTTGGGGGTCATGCAGGGCCTGTCCATTCGGTAAGGATTTCATTTATCATATTTGTGTATAATACAATATCGTGGTGCAGCCAGTCGCACTTAAAAAATAGGCATTATGATGTTTCGATAGAGGAGGCTGCAGCATGCTGCTCTTTGGGTGAACTGTTAGTCTTGGGGAAAATTTTTAAAGCCCGATTTTGGAAATTTTCTGAAACCTTTGGGAGGTTGCTTATACGATTTGAAGGAAGTTACTGTTCATCGTTTGCAGGTGGATTTTTCCAAAACCGAACCGGACAAGTCTTAAAGACAGGGGCTGACATGAACTGCCTTTCCTGCAACAATGGCACCTACGTGACACCGGCGGCTTGTCCTGGAAGAAGTATTGGTGATTGTGTGGTTTGTCCGTCGGGCACGGATAAAAGTCGCCACGCTGGATTCCGCGCGTGCCCTTGTGCATCCAATTACTACCGCCGAGACAGGTTTGGGGAATGCTTCTCTTGCCCCTTGGAAGGTATCAACTGCTCGGGGGAATACCAACACCTCGTGCCTGGATTCTGGTGGACTTGGGACTGGGGTTCGACTGACAATTACCAATCTTACGAGAACTATGTCAAAAACATTCTTGTGAAAAACGATAGCTATGATAAACACGCGTGTAAGTTCCAAGGAGTCTTGCCTAAAGTTCACTCATGTCCAAGGAGAGCCTCGTGTCAAAATCTAGTTGAGGGACTAAATGCCACATGCCAACATGGTTACAGTGATTTCCTGTGCTCTAAGTGCATACCCAAATTCTATTCTTGGTTCGGCCAGTGCTTCAAATGCCCAAATTGGCGGGTGTTCCTCCTAGAAATCCTCGCATCTGTGCTGGCCATCGTTGTAGCAATATGTATTGTTGCATGGGACCTTCGGAGGCATCGTCGAAGAGGTCGCTCCGTCGTCAGTGTACTGTTCTCACGACTTAAGATTTTGCTCGGCTTCTATCAGATCATGGGAGAGATATTCGACGCAGTTCATGACCTTCCTTGGCCGCAGCCTCTGATAAAGATCGGTTCTTTCTTCAGAGTTTTGGAGGTGAATATCATGCAGTTGATCGTGAGTCCTCGTTGTTATTTCCCAAACTTTACCTACCCAACAGTTTACATTGAGTTTATAGCTGGTCTCAGTTTTTCCATTCTTGTAATTATCTCGGCGTTGAGTTTGTACAAACTCATATGGTTGTATCTACGCCTTAAGGAAACACCGGCCGATGTTTGCAGTGATGTACTGACTAAAACAAAGCAAACGTGCTATCTCGTTGTTGTTATTTTGCTGTTTATTGCCTACCCAAGCCTATCGCATGCCATCTTGACGTTGCTGCCGTCTGGCTGTGATGAATTCGACCTGGATGAAACAGAAAAGATCAAAGTACGTCGTCTTAGATCAGACTTCTCCATCGACTGTAAGACATATGAACATGGCATGTATATTACTGCCGCCGAAGCTTCTCTGTGCTACGTCGTAGGTTTTCCATTAGTGTTACTATTTATGCTTTGGATAATTCGTCGAAGGAGAAAGAAGCCCAGTAATTCCTCGAGCATTTCAGATTCCAGGGATGACCTAGGCCAAACACCATTGGACGTTGCAGACCGTCAGACCGGTCATGACACTCACCGTCATGAGCTGGAAGACATCCCACAAGGTCGTATCGAAGATTCTGCCAATTTGGTTTCTCATGATAACATGAATAATATGATAGACACCGCGCCTAACATTGGTCAACTCGCGTCTCCATCGTTCCTTGCATTAAATAGAAAAATTACATGGGAAACCTTCCTGTGTGAAAATTACAAGGAGCAGTTCTGGTATTGGGAGATCGTAGAGCTCGCACGCAAAATCCTCCAAGTCCTCTTCGTTCTGTTGTTCGGTGCTGAGGATCACTTCACCCTCTTCGCGACCATCGTCCTATCCGTTGGCTTTCTCGTCGTCCATGCCTACGTTAAGCCAATGAAGGATGCTGCCGAACATCGTCTTCAGATGTGCTCCCTGGCTAGCATCTTTCTTAATCTGTTGGTGGCCTCTTTGCTTCTGTTGCCAAGTGACGGCAGTGGTCCCAGCGAAGCAAGGAAGAAAGTTTTGGCAGTATTCCTGGTTCTTCTCAACCTCAGCATCGTTGCTTTTGTGGCAGGTAAGTCACACGTCAGGCTTTAGTAATTGAAAAATCACTTGCAAAGATTTTCAATTTATTCATATTTACATCTTTTGGCATTGAAAATGATGCAATGTATCATCGGTGTTTCAAGCACGATTTACAGTATTCTAACTAGTGGATTTGAATGGAGATAAAAATCGGCATTTCCGATGGACAAGTGAGTAATATGTGCAACTTAAGCGAAAAAGAAAATTTCAACTTCATGGCAAAATAGAGGTACTAACAATGTCACGAGATGAAGAGGCCACTACAGGTTGCAAAGCCTTAAAAGCAAAGCTTGTGTAAGGCATGCCATTACAAGAAACAAACAGGACAATACAAAAGAAACAGCAGAATTCATCAAACTAGGACCCTGGAGACTACATGTATTAGGACACATGAAATCTATTGCATAAGATAAAATTTAAGTTTCAGCTTAAAAGTGTTAGAAGACGTTAAACACCTGAGAATATCGGTAAGCTATTCTATAAAATAATGGAGTTTTTGCCAAAAAGGCAAATATAACCTTCAGCACTAGTTGTGCATCACTGCAGGTGACATAGGCTTACTTAAAGTCCGTCTTAGTACAATCAATCCTGAGTGGAGTCTCAAATATACTGCAAACGTAAATGTTCATGTGTTACCAAAAGCTCAGGAGTCATCCCGAGTCCAGAGTTAGCTTTTGGTATCAACTAACTCATCACATCTAGAGGATCGTGTTCTGTTGCAGTTTCAATCTTTCTTCTTCACAGGAAGTGCGATATGGTCATTTGCGAAGCTGGTTTTCAAGACAGCATGTTGCCGGCGTGCTACCATGTTCGTCGCCCATGTCTGCCGCAAGCTTCTGCCACTACGACGGTACTGGGTATCGAGACGCCGCCCAGGAAGTGAGACACAAGTTTTGTTAAGCGGAAGGCCTGTTAATGGACAGAGTAACCAGAGAGGTTTGTCTGAGGCACGGGTTGTGTGACCGGTTTGTATATAAATGGCACTGTGATTCCTCCTTTAAGGAGCATCACCATCATAGATGAATGTTTTTCATTTTCTGATGTTTTGTTTAATTAGTCAAATAAGACTGCATGCAGTTTTTCTAGTCATTTGACTAAGTAAAATTTTCAGTGATAGTACATGTGATGGACACAAAATAGAATTTGTGAAAATCTTGGGCAATGGGTTGAAAGAAAAGAGTAACAACGATCAAATATTTCGAGAAAAGACTTCTCCGTCATCAGAGGCCTTGTTGGCAGCAGTATTGTCGACTGTCGTTTTATCGACTCAGGACCCAGTGAAGACCTAGTGAAAATCATGCTTGCAGTGTCCAAATTCGCTACCTGCGGAGTGTAGTGCATTGACTTCGGGTCTTTGTTACTTCATTGGATGTAAAGGGTCGGCGCTTTGAACATCACGGTCGTGTTTTCCTACAAGTGGCTGCCCAAACTATGGCTGGCTGTCAGTACAAATTAAAGTAAAGAATTAAAAAATCTCACACAGAATACCTGCAGATAATAATACACATACTACTGAACACTACATGAAAATCCAACCCGCCTTAAAATTGGTAGGACAAATGTACAGTTTGAAGGAATTTGAGGTGCAATCTAACCAAAGGATAATTTTTTGCAAACTTTGGCCGCCCATACAAATTGTAGGCAAACTGAGGGTGGTCTATCAACCTTGAGTAGAAGCACCCCTCCTCGATTAAAAAAGAACCATATTGGTCGGGAATAATCATTTTGGTTGATAGCTATTTAACCGCAACGCATGTATTTCTTTATCGTTTGTGAACTATAGCGAAGTGCAGTTCCCATCGAAGGAGCTTCTGTTGCTAGGGAAATTGTGCCTGCTCTTGGTGGCACTCGTGGCCTATAAGCCATTGGCCTATTGCGCACTTCAGGTCTATTTCCATACCATATATATTGAATAATGTAGAAGTTAACAAAACTTAAGTTACAATAGTACGGAGGAGGTTAGACAGAAAGCAAAAGCTTGTACTGGATCTGCCCCCTGAAGTAGAATACATGTAATTCACACAATTATTAGTGTAAAACATTAACAATATATACAGACGTGTTGAAGGTCCTTATCATGTAGATAATAACTTTTATATCATGTAACGTCCTTGATACCTGAATATTTTTTAAAACTTCTCACCATGGTACAGTTTATCGGAAATAAAACAGATAAACTATACCCTGGTGATAAAATTTAAATGTTATTAAAATATATAATGTACACGTGGATAAAAAGACAGAAGGAATAAAAGTGTTTAAGATTTTGACAGTAGATTATAATTCATCGCCGAGGACGAGGTCTGGCTGCAAAAATGTTAAGACTGATTATCATCTGGTGCCCCTCTACGTAATGTGTCAAGAATTCGGGGGATTCAGATGTTCTGGCGGTTGTAAATTTGTGCAAAACAAGCGCATATAGAAAGGTTCTTGCTCACACAGCCACGGATAAGATGCCGTAATTTCTCTCCCTCCCCCAGAAAAAGGACTTGTTCATTGGGCTGTTCGTTCAAACTTCGCAATGGCATGATCTTGGTGAAATAACACACCACGCAGATTGATGTATATTTGCTTGAGTTTTAAATTTGGGTCGGTTAGAACTTTTCAATGCGTAGAAGCAGTGATTTTTGCAACGATGAGAAGGAAAAACGTATAGCGTTCATTTGGGAAGCACGTGTGTTGCAAAGGATTTGATTTTCGTGAGGTTACCGGAAATGGATTTTCGAAAACCACGAAAATCAAACACCTTTCAAAAATTAACTTGCATTGATTTTGTTAATCATTTTGTCGTTTGTACAATGCATTGCGCTTTGGCGTGGAAGACCATAACAAAATGGCCAGTAGAGGGAGTAAGAATGACACGGGGGGCCTCGAAGATTAATACATTCGTAACCAATGGCGGCGGAACGATTTTCAAAGGGGGGGAGTTCAACGAGACCATCAGGCATTAATGTGCCAATCCATTAAGCTCAACCCAATTACATAACCTGCAAAAAGTGTGGAGGAGGATTCCCGCAGTCGGGGGGGGGAGGGGATTCTGGCCCCACTGCCCTCCCAGCCGCTTCTGCCGCCAGTGGTTACGGTCACACGGTTAATAACTTGTGACGTGGGCCTACACAAAATGCGCCCTCTATACTGCACTCTTTTTAATAAAACTCAAAGGTCGAGTTCGGGCTGTCCGTCTTGACACGGGTTTCGTGTTCTCGCGCTCGAACGGCGAGAACACGACTCAAGAACACTGTTCTCGGAACAGGATCACACACCACCTCCTCGTCAGGATTTTACACAAACACACGGAAAAACTCGTCCGATTTGATTTTTGAACAGCCGCAAAAAGTACCGATGTGGCTTAATTAACAAAGCCGAAGACAATGGAAAGTTTTGACAGAAATGATTTTTTGTAAATGGAAAAGAAGTTAGCCTAGTTATCCAACATTAACTAAGGAAAAATGCACAAAGACGCTGCCATGTTGGATGTTGCTTGCCACAAATAACTACGGCGACCCACGAACAACAAATCGAGCTGTTCTTGAACACGGCGAGAACAAGCCGCCCAAACTCAGCCAAAGTAAAGTATAACGGTAAACTGCAATAAAGTCTGTGAAGAGATTCGACTTGAACATGTGAGTTTCTAAACCACTGAGCTAGTATGCATACCAATCTGCCAGTAGGTCGTTTTTGCGCGTGTGTGATACAAACTGCTGAGGTTCAAGCTTTATTTTATTAATGGGGAACACACCTGTATCTCTATAATAATAAAAACAGCTCTGCTGGAGTTACACAATGCCTGATGACTAGCTAGTCTCCTCTCAATACTGGTAATATAACCATTTTTCCCACAAGAAAGTACACGGATCGAAAATCTACAGAATTTTGTGTAATAAAAAAGTTCTTTTTCCCATTATGACTTTTGAAGTTATTGAATTTTACGATCACGTACTTAAAATAAAATTGTAAACAAAGTAGGCCTATACACGCCGCAATAAGGAGTTACAAACAATAAGGGCTTGCAATTACAACCCCCCCCCACCTGTTGGGCAAATGTTGCCCGTGCAACTCCCACTGACCACTGCCAATTAAAGTAGGCCTACTTTCAAGCCCGAAATTCTTCGACGCTAATACGGTCATTATCTACCGATTCGTTCAGATTATCGCCCGCTCGTAGAAGTACGCACTGCAGCAACGTCTCGAAACCAAGACTGAGTGTCTCTTGGTGGCGCTTTAAATCGATCAGACGGCTCTGATTGTTCAACCCGTGTGTTGCACGTGATGAAGCAGTCTGGCAGTACGGTGCCCTGGGTACCGGTTACGGGGGGCCGGGCAGACAGTCGGGCACAGTCAGGTGACTTAACTTGCAAGTGCTTGAATGATGTTTGCTCAATAAAAAGCATCTGAAGCAAGGAGAAAGAAAAGGCTTTACAAGTAAGTATTTAGCGGTCATTTATGGTCGTGATGGTCAGCAACACGTGCAGGCCTAACGTTACTAGGCCTAACTTACAGTCGGTCTTGGGAGCCGAGACTCTGTCTGGATCTTTCCTATTTTGAGCACCATTCTTGTTCATTAGGCCTCTCACTCAAGTTTTTTAAACGTGATTAAAGTTGAAATGGACCATATTGGAAGTTATGAAGTACATGTACATGTACATATGAAGGCCTATGGCCTCCTGTCATTCGCTAAACTCCATCATCATAATGTCCATTCCACCTAGTCAGCTAGTGCTAATTCTGTCTTCACGTCATCAGGAAATTCACATTAAGGGCTGAAGAAGTACAGGCCCTAATTTCATTGTGGTAGTCTTTTTTGTACTGTCTTGAACTGGTGATATGGTTACCACCTTGCCATTGGCTGGTGAGTTCTGTGTTTGCATGTCTTAGCACGCAGGAAGAACAGTGGAACACTTGAGTGCAAACTCCTGGTAGGGTCACCCAAGCTGGACAGAGCGAAGGTTAGACTAGAGGCCAGATGAAGAGTAATTGGTCCTCCAGGCTGGGGGTTAGACAAGGGACTAACAACCCCTGACTGTTAAAGTAATAACACTTATTACAGAAATGCCGACAAGAGAAATCCAAGAGAACCATGTCTTGGAAGAAGAGGGATCTTCATCGAGAAGACTTATGAAGTCTTGTGGTGAAAGCCGGAAGTCCCCGGAAGCCACAGGACTGAGCATCTTTTCTCTTAATCCCCAAGGAGAGAGGAAAAGAGGCTGGCTGAGAAATACCTGGCAATGGCGTAATATAAAAATACCTGCAGTCAGATACCAGGAAGATGGGTCTCACACAGATGCAGCTGGAGGGGAAAGTGCAAGACAGATACATGTATGATGGAGGACTCGGGAGGACTCTTGTGGATAGCCAATACCCCAAGGAGGGATGACAGGCATAACTAACTACATTGTAAAGTTGTCTTGAAGAAGAGCCACAGAGAATTCCTTTACAGAAAAAGTTGAATCACATCATTTCAGAAAACGTAGAGGACCTAATTCAAAACCATTAGGTGATGTGGACTGAGCTTGATCATCATCAGCGAACTACATGGACATGTACATTTACATGTGCTTAGGTTTCAGTCAAGAGTTGATCTCGAACCAATTTCAGAAATTTTTTTGACTGGGTGAATATGCAGGGTAAAAGGCTTGTTCATACTTCAGTTGAATGCGAAAGTGAAGTAACTTTGACTTCACAAAAAAATTGCTGTGAAATTTCGTCCAAGTTGAAATGTGGTCATCTTTTGCAAATTCATAATGCAAATATCAGATCTGACATCACAATTTGCAATTGTTTTCACTTTTGTAGGGAGTATGAATCGGCCTTAAGATTTCGAATTTTTTTTGGTAACTTTTTTATGACCACTTTGAAGGAGGAAGCTTTTGGGGATTTTTACACACTTTTGGTGGAAGGGAGTGAATGTACATGTACATGTAACTAGTGCAAAACAGTTTCGTCTGCCTCATTAATTTTCAAAACAAAGCTTTTCTTCTTTTTTTTTGGGGGGGGAGTCATGGCTATATTGCCCTTTCCACCAGGTCAGTGATACAGTCACTTCTTGAGCTACATGACTAATTCCATTGATGGAATTTGATGACAGTCTTGAGGTGAGCAAATGATAAGGATTAGGCTCAGTGCTGGCCACAAAACTGCAGTAGAGAAAAATGTGCTCACATTAAACATACTTTGAAGAATTTTTTCTTTCAATGGAGTAGCTCAAGATTTCAAAAATGCTTTCTTCATGTACCAGCAGATTATTGTTTAACATCTGAGACGTCTCTACATGATTGTTTAATCTGTGGATTTTTTCCCTTAAATCATATATACATGTAGCACACACGTAAGCCGTCTGTGTGACAAGTCAAGAAGATATTGATGACAGAAACCTGTTCGTAAGTGTTGTTAATCAAGCTACCTTTTCTCCAAGTCCATGATGACTGATACCATTGGAAAAAGCATCGACCCTTTTCTGATTGTGTCAATTGTTGTTGGTGAGTTGAACTGGCTTATTATCTGTCCTAATGATATTTAAGGTTGTTCATCTTGCATGCACATTTGGATTGAAAGAAATAATATTTTGAACTGATTGAGTTGTGATGACATAATTTTGAGTTGAAATGATGGATTTTTGAAACTCGGGAAATGATTTTTTTTATCACACTTTGGTATTTATCATGAGGGAATAGGGTTAATCCTGCTACTTTGCAAGACCTTGATGTTTCTTGGAAGTTAGGAAGATGGCATCCATTGTATGGATAATGTTCTGATGGAAGTTCTGTAATCACAAAAAATGAGGATTTCTTCTGACGACGAACAGAACCCTTTGTTCAAAATTCCAAGTGTAGTGGTAAACACACACACGGGACGTGAGTGGGACCATAAGGGGGTGCAATTTTCCTAGCAACGGAGGATCCTTTGATGGGAACTGCACTTCGCTGGTTCGTGAACAGCTAAATGAATGAGACGCATGCATTGCGTTTGTGTCGCTTCCAACATAACGGACACTCCGATTCTGGCATGGCTTTGTTCAACCAGTGAGGGGGGTGCTTCCGCTCAAGGCGGATAGGGCAATTATATGATACAGATCTTCACTTTTTCCCTCACCAGTACATACCATACTTGTATCTTCAAATAATAAACGTCTATCTTCTTCACAACCAATTATCTGAAGATCTCTCCAAATGTCGCAATTTCGGGCAACATGCCTCCACCTGCCAGGAACAAACTTGACAAAAGAATTTTGACATGTGTAAGCCTTAACTCAATATACTTGTATAGGCCTATACCTTCTGATCATAAGTGATATTTGTGGCTCGCTGTCTCTGTGAATCTCAGTTGGTGCAGGGCTGTTGTGGCTGGTGAGAAAGTTCTTTGAAGGAGGATGGTGCTACAGCAAGGCTCGTCTGGATGGTAAGACGGTCCTCATCACCGGGGCAAACACTGGCATCGGCAAGGAGACTGCCAGAGATCTGGCCAGGAGAGGTAGGTTTGTCTTTCTCATGGTGAATAATTCAAGAAAGAAACTGCCAAAACATTCAAATTCCCACTAAAGAACAATTCTTTCAACTTTCGATGCTGAAGCAGTTGTAACACAAACTGCTGACTATGATGGCATCACTATACATTGTACATGTACATGTATATGAATATTAAAATTTGCACTGATCAGCAATTCTTAATTGTAATGTCTTGTCAGTTTTAATGAGGGTAGTTCAATTCAGTTCAATAACAGATTGCTTTCCAACTGAGCTCTCATAGAAAACAACAGAGACATACAAGTAGATATGAAATTACATGTACATTGCATACATGTAGTTGTCTTATTGTTGAGTTGGTGAATTTCTTTCTTGTGGAAATACAGGGTACTGATATGCTGTAAAAGGCTCTTAGAAATGGAGACATTGTACATGGAATTCATGCTGAGATCAAAGGAGACACAGAGGTTTCATTAGGTTTAGATTAAATATTCTAATCACGTTTCCAGTATGGGAGTGGTTTAATTTCAATGGTCTCCAACCCTGTTTTCTCCAAGTGTGGATGAGAGAGATGCTGTGTTTTTACATAGCAACAGCACTGTTTTGGTAGGAACCCACCATTTGACTATGAAGGAATCATGAACATTTGGAGCGAGACATGCCTTTGTACACATGACTCCATTTTGGTTGGAATGTAGAGTCTTGACTTTTCAGTAAGGCTTGTTCATAAGCCTGACTAAAATACTTCCCACCAACTTATTTCCTATTTTCCAGTGAGGATGCGCTTTGACTCGAGGCGATACATGTGGGAGGATATAAGGCAGTATATTGAAAGTTTCTCCCATATCGCTGCATTACATTTCTTTTACATGCCAAGCTTTCTGGACTTTTTCAGTAACATATTGTGGCCAATGCTTACAATATTTTTTTGGAAATTGGATATACCATTCTTGCACAAAGCCCATTTTGCCGAGATTGGTCCGCCAGAGGTTTCTTGTTTGTGCATTGACTTGTTCAGTGTACTTTGGTTGCTGTCAATGCACGTGGGTTGACTTGCTTTCGATTCTGGCTTAATTGTGAGATTTGGCATTCTTTCAGGAGCTCGTGTGATTCTAGCGTGCCGTGATACTGCCAAGGCCGAAGCAGCCCTTGTGGAGATCAGAGAGGAGACTAGGACCAGCAATCTGACTGTGGTCAAACTGGACTTGGCTTCTCTTGCCTCGGTGAGAGAGTGTGCAGAGAAGATCAAAGCAGAAGAGTCAAGGCTAGATATTCTCATCAATAATGCAGGTAAAGACGTGGTTTCATTTACGTGTACTCTAAAAATGAACCTTCAGATTCATTAAGTTGGTCATTCTATAAATTCAGGGTCCAAAAGTGTGACATGTTTGTGTTCCTGTTACACTTGACTTGTGTAATTTCAAAAAAAAAATATCACTAGAAGTGATTTTAAAGAATTTCTATTTGTTTGGTAGGTAATTTCACTCTTGGAAATTAGAGAACGTATTCTGCACTTACAAAATCAAATATCAAAGGTAATGGACACGAGAACAATTGGACCCCAAATTTACAGAATGACTCCATTGTTAATAAAGAGGACGAGATTTTGACAAAGAGAGAATCCAATAATCCAATTCTAAGACATCTACATTGTAAAAGTATATCATTAACCCTAACCCTCCTCAATCCTTCACCTGTTGGAGGATTGAGGAGGGTTAGGGTTAAAGGGTAGTTGCAATCCATTTATTTTAATACAAACCTTCAAAAGGCAGCTTTGTGTCTCAGTAATCCTTATTTTCAACTTTGTCCCACTACTTCCAAGGGTATTTTACTGTCTTTTTATGGATTTTATGCTAATGAGATTTCTTTATTCATGAACAAAACTGTGATGTCATCCCAGGAAGAAAGCCTAAAATGTTACATTGGTCTGTACACAAAAAGTCTTGCCTTTTTTCTCAGATTTTGCTGGAGTTTCTCGTTTTTGATGATTCATTGTTGTTTACACGTATGTACATAGCAATAAGTTCACGTAAGTACCAATCCCTTTCTCAGAAATATTTTCAGTTAGTAATTTCTGGGTTCACAATTTTTAATAGAAAAACGTATGCAATAAGCTACATTTATGTGTTTCCTAGATGACATCACAGCAACAGTGCCCTCAATTGTCCAGGATGGATAATTTTGAGTGTTTAAAAAGTGCACTTTCCAATATATTTAACCAAATTGAAATGGAAAAGAGTTTTTATACATTGAAGAAGAGTACAAATGTATAGAAAGATTGCATCAAGGATAAATTCATTGTTTCAACACTTTAAAAGCAACTTGACTACAAGGTCTCACGACAGAGTTTGTCATGCTTGATGCTAAAGATGTGAAGTCACAACCGTATGGACTGTAATTATCACAGTGAAGATGAACAAAATGTGAACATCCTACCTAATAATTGTGTATCAGGAAATTCAGCAGTGTGTGAAAGTAATTACCTTATGCTGGGTAAAGCTTGCTACAAATGATGGAAGTTTTCAACTTTCATGTTTATTTGAAAAGAATATGTACGCCTTCAAATATGATCCCAAAGCATATCTGAAAATCAGTGGTGCCAATAAGTTGCCCCGCCAACAGCTTTTAAAGATCATGACAAGGAGCTGTTGAAGATATCAAGCCAAAATGTTAGTCTCTACTGATTTTAGTATATCACATTTAGTTTGGGAAATTTTTCAGGCAAATCCGAGTTGGGAGGTAGTTAGATTTTGTGTGATTTGGCTCAGAAGGACCCTACGTTCTGTGATTAAAATATCACTTATGAAAACCACGAGAGGGAAATTGTCACAGTTCTTTACGCTTCTGGTTTAACTAAAGTTAATTGGTGCTACTTCTTACAGGAGTCATGATGTGCCCTGAGTGGAAGACGGAAGATGGGTTTGAGATGCAATTTGGTGTCAATCATCTGGGCCATTTCCTGCTGACCAACCTGCTGTTGGATCTCATCAAGTCCTCCACCCCTGCCCGCATCCTCAACGTCTCCTCCCTCGCTCATGAGTTTGGCAAGATGCAGTGGGACGACATTCATATGAGGACCAACTACGATCCCATCAAGGCCTACGGTCAAAGCAAGCTGGCCAACGTGCTCTTCACGTTGGAGCTCAGCAAACGTCTCAAAGGTATTGTATCAGAAATTATTCTGCTTTCCTTTGCCAACATCACCTACGCCACTTGTGTGAAGAATCTCCTAGCGCGGATGTGCCTTCCTGACATTACGTCATTTGCTCTTATGTTCTCCTAGTTGGGTGCACTTTCTCTAAATATTGGGCATTCAAGTCTTTTAAGCCCTGTGTGTAGCGCACGTTTGTCACCCTATTAGGCAGCACAAAATTTAAGTCATTGCTAGGTAAGCTGAACTTTATTATTATTGATTGGGACAAGGTTTTGAGCTAGACTGAGGAACTTGTCAGTTGGCTGTCGTCACCAAGTTTAATTGTCATTTGGGAAGTTTTCCCTGAATTTTTTGGGCTTTATATCAATTCAAGAGTACCTGTTTCTGAGATTGGGAATCGTCAACTGAATTCTTTGTGGTAAGGCAGTTTCTTATCGTTTTCAAGACTTAATTGTGATTGTTTGATAATTTCTTTCTTTTCAATTTTTTATGGGAGTGTGAGATGCCTCGCGGAGGTCCTTTATTGAGCTACATTATTTATTCAGTGCACCTCCGGAGGTCTCCCTCGAATTGGGTGGTGTCTCGAATACAGAGTGGCCCCTGGTGGAATGAAAGCCTAATCACGTGTAGTCAAGTCTGTGCCCATCAGAGCCACAGTCGTTAATTACTTCTCCTCTTTATTTGTTTTTATTTCTAGTGTTTCTTCATCGTTTAAATAAGCCATTAATACTCTAGCTTTTGTTGCTCTGAAAAATCTTGTTTCCCTGCTTGTTATTTTGTCTGTTTTGCCCTTGGACTGGGATTTCCCCGCAAATTACATTCTGCCGCTCTAGTGTAATTCATTCAAAACTTAATACAAGCATGACTTGGTGTTGAGCACCGACAATTCTGTTTTCACAGTATGCAGGTTTCTTCTGAGCGTGCAGCTTGGTTCTACCAAGAAGATATTATATAACATGTCAAATGAAAAAAAAGAGAATTTATATAACAAGAAGTTAAGGCAGAATCCTCTGTAAGAACAAAAATTCGAATTTTAACTTTTCGAATCTTTCTCTGGCGTGTTTGTTCCTACTACTGACCTATCCCAGCGTGCAAATGTCTAACTTGCAGGCTCTCATTGGAAAACATTTGCTATATTATGGGAATGATCTATTTTATCAGCACATTTATGAGCCATATGCATATAGTTTGGTAGTCTACATGTTAAAGGACGCTCATTTACACGTTAAAGGACAATATCGAAATGTCTTTGTGCCATGTCGCCTAAGCACTCACTGTACGATGAGAAGCATCCTTAATGCCCCACGACCTTTTATGGGGGTCTGCAAGTAATCTTGGAACAGCTATGTTAAGGCTGACACCCAGCTGTTTAAATACATGTAATGGGCGTGGGGGCTGTTCGTTCTGCCCCAAAAGGGGTGGAGGACTGTTCTTTAGAAGAGCCCCTAACCCCCTCTTTTTTTGGGGGGGGGCTGTTCCTGAGATCTTTGCTTTGGCCAAACTACCTGTGTCAATGTATTACATGTATATTTGCCTGTTGCCAAAAGATTGTTAGTCCTGTTTTAACCCAGTTTGTTGTCCCAAATTTGCTTTGAAATCGCGTTGCAGTGCCACTCAGACTGCGCACCATCTGGCTGCCATACCCATGACGTTTTCCTGCTACTACTGACATTTCTCAAGCACCTGTTTGTAGATGTTGTTTGGCAACATTTGTGAATTAGACTAATTGAAAAACACTTTCATCAAACATGGAACAGGTGTTTATGGTCTACGATTAAGCTGCTAATTCAAATGAAATTGCTGTCTACTTTTGGAAACTCAATCCAAGCTATGAGTGGTCATGTATTTAAACAGGAAGGTGTTAGCCTGCCGACAGATGTAACAAGATTTGCTCGTAGATTGATTATTAAGCAGTTATGTATATTGATGTTATTGTTTGATGCCAAATTTTCTGTTCTGGGTAATTATTATATCAGTGTCGTAGTCCTAGGCACACCTAGCTATTTGGAACTGTTTTCAACCAGGCTCTAATAATTTCTGTCAAAAGTACAGTCGAGTTCACAGCATTTTGTTATCAACCAGAAGCTAAAATTTAAAAAAGAAAATCAGGAAGAACCAGTGGCTCATGGTATTTTTTCACTCACTGGTCTTAGTTAACAACTACATGTAATAAAGTGTGTGACGTACAACTGAATTTTAGTGCTGTCTCATATAGTGGAATGTCTCACTTGAGTTGTCAATTGGATTGCCTGTCCAAGACATAGATTTTTTTGACTGGCACTTTGTAGTAAATCAAGATACTAGAATGGCTGGAATAGACTTTGAGATTTCTGTTTCTTTCAGGAGAGAGGATGTTTATATAATCAACTCTCCCTTGTTTCTTGGTTCATTTATACATGTAGCCTCAACCCTGAATTGTAACTGCATTTTTTGTTGACAATAAAATACCAGATACCAGCGTGAGTGTCTTTGCCCTGCACCCCGGTAGCGTGACTACTGAACTGACACGGCATACCAGCTATTCTCTCAACTTTCCATTTTGGGTCGTCTTTATGATCGCTGGCTCTCCCCTCGGGAGGATGGTCATGAAGACTTCCGTCCAAGGAGCCCAGACATCCATCTATTGTGCTGTGGCTGAGGAACTTGCCAACAAAACAGGCCTTTATTTCAGGTAGGTTAAGTTAGTGGGGATAATCCCCTCGTAGAGTAGAAATTAGAGATTTGTTGAAGCTGATCTTCGACTGGAATAGGTCTAAACCTTTCATACTTCAGGGGTAGCAGCTCAACGTTTGTCCAACCAGGGAGGAGTTTTATTAGATGAGAGCTGAAGTAAGAAAGCATGCTGTTTGAAAGAATTGTTTAAGGTACACATTAACTGGAAAGGCAAACATCTGACTTGGTTAAATTGCACTTGTCACATTATGCAGTTTATGTACAGTGATGTGCAAAATTATTTGAACATTTGTCACTAGGTGCTTGAGTTACTTTTGATGAAACGGCAATCAATATGTAGTGAAATAAACCGGTTATCAAATGTTTTCAGAGTTAAGAACTTATTATCCAGATAACACTAGTAACCAGCTATTCTTTCACCTCTTGCTCATTATTTTGTGGGAGACTGGCTGGCAAGCTTTGGCAAGCTTTGGTGGTCGGCAGAAGCAACGACCTTTTGTCAACAACGTACGTAGTAGGCCTATGCATACAATTTTAAACATTAACAAAATCCCCTACATGTATTTGGCAGAAAGGGTACATGAAGCCGTCCAAATTAACCCAGAGCACAGGTCACCACAGCCTGAACATGAAAGGGCAAAGAACTTACAACCAAGCAAAGGGCACAAATAAAGACCCTTTCTGATGCTGAATGAAGCTACCGATCTGTAATCATAGACATAAATTGCAGCCCAAGCTCTGTAAAACACAATTTAGACAGATTTATGGACATAAATTCATGCCAGCACCATGAGAGAGGAAGGGAGGAAGAAAAAACTTCAGTTTTGAAGAGTAAGTCTTGCAGACCAGAGAAAAAGCTCAAGGGAGCTTTGAGATGACATCAGTAGCATGCTGACTGATGGTGTTACGGTTTCTTTATCAACTGTGCATCGGAGATTGATAGAAAAAAGGACTTGCTGACAGAGTAGCAGCTAAGAAACCATCATTGAGGGAGAACGATAGAGTGAAGTGCCTGAATTTTGCAAAGGAATGCAAGCACTGGACAAAGGTTGTCGGTCCAACGTCTTACAGACTAATGAATCTAAGTTTGCCTACGCACAATGTCAAGTGTTACAATAATTTTGCACATGTACACGTATCCAAGCACTGATGTTGAAAATGAAAAACAATGGATAGACATACTGTACTGGTTGCCATTTCATCGCAGGGAACTAAAATACATGTACATGTACATTGTACCTAAAAACATGCCGTGTTGAAATGATTTTGCACTGTACTATACATCTCAGGTTTAAATCCTCAATTCAATCTTAGTTCAACCAGTTCAGTCCTAGCTGTAGCCTGATGTTTAGTCTGATGACTCGGTTCAGCTGCATAGTGGGTAGATTTTTCAGACCTAGGGAAATACGTGAGTAGCCCGACCGTGGATGTAATCAGGTATCTTGTTTGGCAACTTCCACTATGGGCAGGTTCAAGGAGCTGTTGAGCAGACCACCAGCTCTGGCTTTGCTGTTTTCCCCTTATGAATGAAGTGTACTTTTTGTGTTCAGTGATCCAATTGAGCATGTCGTCATATGGTGTGATATTTTGGGCTGATGTTTTTAGCGTAATTGTTTTTGTTAACTTGGCAGTGATTGTGCTGCCAAGAGTCCCAGTAAGCTGGCTGTGGATGAAGAGTCAGCACGTCGACTATGGGAACTCAGCGCTGAGATGGTCAATCTGGAGAAGAAAGTGGAGTAATTCGAGTGAAGTGACCAAAGGTTCCAGCTGTTGGTCTTCAGAGTCACCATGTGGCAAAATATTTACGAATGTTGCAATAAGCGTGAGCAATTGGTGAGAAAAAAATGTTAAAAAAATATCAGTAGGGCCTACACAATGCACAGATAACATTTTCTGTGCCTACCTGGTACTTTTTAAAGTGGTACTTTTTAGCAGGGTGTACACTGTACGTTTTCAAGATCAGCCGATGGCACAAAACCAAGTTACTCGCAGAGCGCACAGTTGCCTAAAGATAATGCACACTTTGTGAGCAGCGCACATATGTATAAGTGTGACAGTATATGATGAGCCATTGAACCTCTTCCATGTTGTTGTCATGAAGCTTATTTATGACCTGATCAGGCAAATTGAATCTATGGTCAAATTTTTTATGTGAAGAAACGTCCTAGAGTAAAATGTCCAAGATCAATTTTTTTTTCTTCATTTTTCGACTTCCAATACTTATGATCCGAAGGTTGTTTCAAAGTTTGGAACTTCATAGAGATGAAGTCTACCGTGGTTTACCTTTCAAAGGGATGGAATCGAACAACTTGGCCTGGGTCGGAAAACAGCTCATTTCACTCGATCGCGTCATATTTACATGTTGAATCGAATCTAGAGCTTCAAAACTGTCGTGTAAACATTGTTGAAAATGATCATGACATAACATTTTCAGGGAAGGTATCTTTGAGGTACACGTACTGTGTGTCCTTTGTATGCATGTACTTCATATTTAATATAATCCGCTCCAAGCAGAACGACACAGGGCGATTTTTTTATTTACCGCATATAGGTGCGTTTGATGCGGAGCACGCCCAGTACACGTAATTAATTTATTCTAGCATGTATGGTCTTTGCGTAGGTGCAGAACGCGTGCAAGAACCCGCTTGTAGCCACCTGTCTTTCTTTCGCCGATTGGGGATGCACTTCAGCTCGGGGCAGATTATTTCGACGTCTCAGCGCTTGCATTTGTAGTGATTCAATATAGCACAGTTTCCCAACAGTCACTGCCATAGGCTCCTCAGGTGGCAGCATGTAAATGCTTAGCAATTCAGAATATCGATTATATGGTGGCCTTTCATTTGGCTGGTTTTGTCATATCAACTGACATGGTGACTGTTGTATGACCACTGTAATAAATTGCTCCTAAATTACCTGGAACCAGTGTGTTCATTTACACAGTTTCCTTATGGTTTCAATTGAGTAGAATAGATCACAACCTAATCACTGGAACTGGAACTTTTGGGGGGGAAACCGGCCCCTTTACGCCGGTCGACATGTCTTTGCCAAAGCCTCGTGTACAGCTTTCTCATGCCCAGAAACACTTGACTGGTTTAAATGGACTGCAAGCCACAGGAATCCCTTGGTTCTGGGCGCTGTTGTACAGCTCCTCTGCTTCCTGTTGTGGGCGCTGGAAAATACCAAACGTTTTCCCCTACCCTTTATGAGACATGCATACCAATCTTGCAGTCAGTTCCAGCTGTCAACAGTGTGCTCCTTTGTACATGTATACTTGAAACGCAACTATGAATGATGTCCAGTAGTTTTCACATTGTGAAGGAAACTCTAAATACGTACAGAGTTGTGTCTCGGAGAAATCTGTAGCATGGACTGGGTAAAGATTTGACATTGGGAACTTTTGTCAGATATTGAAGCTAATTATGACAGATTATTCTGTTTGTTTTTTGTTTGATCACCGACAAATATTTGCATGACTTTGTTTAATGACACCTCTTAATTTCGAACGTATTTATTCCTGTACTGATATGCACGAATTTTAATTATTTAGTTTAAATATTGATTTATTTTTTGTGTTGTAGCTTTTTGCAACAGTACACGTCCTTTTCAAATCCCTTGAATTGCCCATAAGCTTATTCAACGAGTAAGTTATTTTGTAACGCTTCGTTTGACTAATCTTCTCTCGTAACTAATGGTTGCTCCGCACTTTGTGATGTATTTCCCGTTGAAAGAAACATCCCCTGTGTAGCATCCCCTTTCATGATATTTGATAATGTTAATGTACAGTCGTTAATTTAAATTCGTATCGAGGGAAAACACGTAGCATAAATGTATTTTGTGTTAGCCGTGCCTCGCTAGACACAATTACATGGAGCCATAATCTAGAATCCTCCAAATTCTACATATGGCAAGGCAAGGGTTATTAGGAGGCAGAGGTTCCTCCTTGACAAGTATTTGCTTACAATAGAAAAGGATGATTGCCCGTCTGGTTTCAATAATTATGCATTTTCTAGCACTGTTGATAAGGTAGGGACAATGATTTTTAGATTGAATTTTAAAATTTTTTGTTACAGAAACCTTAATTGTTAAAGTATTTTGATTTATCCTCGAGTGATCACGTAACCGTAATGATAATAGTATCACGTAAATGGTAGCAAGCATTTTTCTCTGAATATTATATTCTTTTGTTTGAGTTGTGAATTTGAAATGAGTTGAAGGTTTTGTGAGCCGGCAATTAATGCCTTTTGTTTTGACATCCCTCCTTTATAACGACGAAATAGGCTTACAATTCCATAAAAGGCACTTTCAGTTTTAATGATGCGTCTCGGCGTTGAATTCTTTTTTTCATGGCATTTTTAGGTTTCTTTGTAACAAAAAAACTCAAAAACACTGCTGGTTCTGCGTTCTGTACAGCAATGAGTGAAATACTCAATCTGTCTTGCATGCATCGAGCATACCTGCTGCAATGAAGACAAAAATGGAAGAACTTATGTAAGACAAATTAAGATGAATATTATTTAAATCTGGCTTATGTGAAACAAAATAACGGTTAAAAAGTGTCTTTAGTTTTCGCGAATGGAATTTTCATCCCCTCCTTTCTGGGAAGTAATCTTTGTGGTGAAATTCCTTTAAGCTGGAAGGAGAAAAGAGAGTTTGCAAGGTCAGATGGCGCACCACGGTAACTGTTCATTTTTATATAGCACTTCTTGTTAAAGGTCACAGATTTACGTTTTATTGGCGAGCTGCGAAGCAAGTACGAGCCTATGAGCTGCCTTCTGTCCGTCCGCCCAGCAGTCCTCAAATGTTAAAGTTTTTCCTTGCAGGTCCATAGGTGTTAAAGTGTGCCACTGAGTGTTTGTTTGCTTCCTCTTGGAATTCCATCAGTATTTAAATAGTCTCATATGGCATTAATGCTTAGAAACTTATGAATTTAATGAAAAAATTGTAAAAGTTGAAGTTAACGTTTTGAGTTGTATTGTGTATTTACCCTGTAGTACACACAGTACATATGTACCTGTGTATTGAGCACTCCTGTTATGTACATGTATGTACGTATTGACAGTGTTTAGACACATACAAATGTACATGTACTGTACGTAGGAAAAATGTAAGGGGTGGGGGGGACTCCAAGTGACAGATAGGGATGTTTGTGGGGGGGGGGTTACCTGAAGGAGGAGGATTATGGGAACGAGGTACATGTATGAAAAAGTGGATGAAATGCTGGATAAGGTTGACGTAATGGTTGGGTGG